TGGGTGATGTATGAGCAGCATACGGTGGAATAGAAGCGGATCCAGGAGGAATGACCTGCGTGGGAGTCACTGTTGAACTGTCACAATGAATGGACAATACTGTAGGGCAGAAGACAGCCAGTCCCAAGAGGTGGATAGTGACTGGGTGGAAGGAGAGATCGCCATAGTTGGATCTAGTACAGTCAGGGTAGGTTGCACAAGAATCAGAGATGGAGATGACGACCAAACACAACTGGGTGAAGTGAAATGGGGTTCAACGTTGCGTTCAAGATTAGTGCACTTATATAGCAATGTTCATGCACATGTTATTGTGTGGCTCTTTGTACTAGTCCTGACTTTTGCCGATTTTATAGTGGTAGTCCACTGAGATACAGTGATTCCTCGACATAACCCTCCACGATGTATAGTTAGCTAGGATGCAGCATGTGATAAAATTTGGCTCCCAAAGAATTTCCCTAAACGCGTGAAACTCAAGGGGCAGCTGACTCTACACTGGACGTAGCTCTGTTTGCATAGTTCACGCACCCCAGACGTGAAGGCACTCCACTATCTGGCACAGAAACTGTCAAGCACAGAAACTGTACCGAAATATCCATGGACCCGACGACACTTTCAAGGCCAACACATGGGATTTCAACAAGATGTCACTGATGCTATCCGAAAATTTCATGAGTACGCCAAGAAAAACAGCATCGATGTATCCCCAGAGACTGCCATCGTTTGGAACTCAGCAGCCAGTTGCCGAGCTTCTCACCGGTGAGTAATGGGTTGCTACTGCATCTCTGCCCGATGAAGAACCCATCGACGATGTAGACGACAACGGTGATGATGGCACCATCTGTTCGTTAATGGGGCTGAGTGTTTATTGCGCACATAGAACAGAGTGTGCAATACGAGGAACCAGTAACTCTTTCAGGAATAAATGTGTTTGTTAATACACCGTTTTGAACAGTTTTTCATCACGGTTTTCCCATACATAATTATTTCGGGTAAAATAACAAAATATATCTCTCATCCACTCAAATCTGAGTTTGTGTTTGATTCATCTTTATTAATCGTCGAATAATCATGTAGTTATACAAGTAATGTACTTTGAAACATCATCACATATTAACCAATCACAGCCTTGGTCTCACATTAGTTTGGCTACAAGGCTTGTTCACAGCTTTATAATGCACTCTCATTGATCGAAAGTGTGAGTACCGTATTCGATGTAATAAATAATAAGCGCCCACGGCAATATTTGTTAATATATTGGCTAGTGAACAATCCCAATTAGCAACCCATCCAATTGATCAATGTACACAACACTAACTTATTCGCGTATAATACACACTCATGTGTTATATGCACCCTTAATTATGGGCAATTAAATTCTGGAAAAATATATCTGTCGTACATAAACATTTCAGGCTGTCAGCATAAACTACGAAATTTATCTTTCAACTGTTTTTTTCACCACAATAATATTCTAATGAGAGCCCCCTATTTCTAATTTTGGTAGCACCCTGGGCGATTATTACGTCAAATACGGTAAGTCAGCAAACTGACCATGTTTCTTTTGACAGAAAAACACTCAGAAAACTACAGTTTGTTTCCATATATACTGAGTCAAATTAAAAACTTCACATTTTTTAAAAGTAATCCCATATATGATATACAACGGACAAATGTATCAGAGAAGGTAATTTTTAATCATTAATGTCCAAAGTAGGATTTTAATTAACGGTGGTAACCATAATTTGTTCCAAGCACCTACGGTATTCGGTAATAACATCAACAGTTTAAATCATAAGTCCCAAGCACAAGAATCTGATGGCACACAAGTTCAGTAGCGTGTATGGCCACCATGTGAGTTGACAACTGCCACACAACGCCTCCGCAAGGACCTTGTGATGCTTGTGAACACATGATTTGGAAGACGACGCCAGTGTTGCTGCAAAATGGCGCCAAGATCTTGCAAATTCTGTGGTTGGTTCTGGAGAGTGCGCAGACTTCTGCCAAGAGCATCCCAGACATGTTCGATGGGATTGAGGTCGGGAGACCTTGATGGCCAGTCCATGATGTTGACTCCCGCATTCTGAAGGGAATTCCTTGTCAAAATTGCTGTGTGGGGTCTGGCATTGTCGTGTGTTGGAAGATCAAACCGGGTCCATGTACTGCCATAAAAGGCAGAAGTTCTGGTGCCAGTACCTGGTCACAGTAAGCAGCAGCGTTGAGTTTGCCACGGATGACAAGAAGCCTGGAACGTGCATTGCCACAGAGAGCACCCCACACCATGACACTTCCGCCTCCAAATCTGTCAACTTCCTGTACACAACACTGGGCGTAACGTTCATGACGGCGCCTCCACACCCTCACCCTACCATCAGCAAATTGAAGATTAATTCAGGATTCATCACTGAAGACGACTTGATTCCAATTCCTCTGAGTCCATCGTAAGTGTCGTTGTGCCCACAATTGACGCTGACGTCTGTGTAATTGAGTCAGAATTGGCCCGCAGTATGGCTGTCGTGCTTGAAGGTGAGCAGTTCTCTGACGGTTTCGAACAGTTTGCGCACTCAGTCTACCCCTAAACAGTTCATTTCTGGTTGATGTAGCCATCAAAAATCGGTTACGAAGGTGACGTAAGACAATCTGACGATCCTCTGCACGTCTGTAAATCATAAACAGTCTGTCAACTACAACCCATCGTCCTTGCGACTTCAGCTACGGACGTTCCCGTCTGCAACATGCCGATGGCACGTTCATGTTGCACATTTGAAAGGCGTGGCATGACAAATGGCCGTAAAGACTTTTGTTTTCTTGTGTTTTTCTTTTTTTGTTAATGACTGCTAACAAGTATGGCTGAAAACACGTGCAGTATTATGGCCACGTGACCAGTTGCACGTGAAGAACCACTTTTGCCACTATAGTGCTGTGCACATGATTTTGATCGATTCACCTGCACAAAAAGGGTGTTATCTGAAGACAATACGTGGCCATTACTGTTTAAATACACAATAAGGGCTCACAATGATAACAGGTCAAAATGTTAAAATTTGAGGATTGTGAAGTTTTTAATTTGGTTCAGTATATATAACATCCTGTTGTAAAATAATACTTTCATTCATTTACACTAATAATTACTTTTTTTAATGCATGCATTTTGAATCATTATCTACGATCAAGGTTACATAGATCTATATTCATGTCACATGCCACTGTCATTATGTAATGCATTGATCATCAGCACTGAATATCTGTATGAAACTCTGTCCTAGAACAAGGGATTGCAATCTTGGACCCTGATAGCAGCGGTATATCGAGGAATCACTGTACAATACTGCAGTTTAACATGAATACCCCACACAGTATACAGACTCCTAGCTGAACAGTCCTTGTTTTAGCCCTATAATGCTGAGCGCCAGACAGGGTAACAACAAGAACCATATTTTAATGTCTTTTAGTATGTCGCAAACGTTGATAAAACCCCGGACATTTTGCTCTCCGGCCAAATGCTCTACCACTAGACCATGGACCACAACAACTGGGCGAATGATGGGCGAATGATGATCCGAGTGTCTGCTGGAGATGAGTCTCGATGAGCAGGCAAGGGTCGATTCCAAGGTGACTATCGACACCATTTACATCAGATGCTATTTCAGGTCATCACTTCTAATATATGAAATTATGATTTTAACAGACATTATTTAAGACCTACAAATTGTTTGTCCCATGCCAGTGCATGCCAATGAAATGAACAGCTGATGGTGGTAAACATGCCTTCTACATGATCTATATTTGTTCTTGCAATTATTTCCTTCTTAAATTGACAATGAACAGAAATACATAAATATTAATGTTATATCTCCAAAAGTCGACAATGAACAGAAATACATAAATATTAATGTAATAACTCCTAAAGTCGACAATGAACAGAAATACATAAATATTAATATCATATCTCCAAAAGTCGACAATGAACAGAAATACATAAATATTAATGTAATATCTCCAAAAGTCGACAATGAACAGAAATACATAAATATTAATGTCATATCTCCAAAAGTCGACAATGAACAGAAATACATAAATATTAATGTTATATCTCCTAAAGTCGACAATGAACAGAAATACATAGATATTAATGTAATATCTCCTAAAGTCGACAATGAACAGAAATACATAAATATTAATGTCATATCTCCAAAAGTCGACAATGAACAGAAATACATAAATATTAATGTAATATCTCCTAAAGTCGACAATGAACAGAAATACATAAATATGAATATAATATCTCCTAAAGTTGACAATGAACAGAAATCTAAATACTAATGCACTTTTTTGTTGATACTAATATTTTTAAATATTCACAGTGGAATAATTAATGTTCGAAACTATTGGAGGATACATCCATATAATCCAGTAACATTAATTGCAACATAATTCGAGACACAAATACCGAATATCAAATACAGTTTCCACTGTGTGAACATGACCAAATGTCTATAAAAATATGCAAAATCTCAACACACGCCAAAATATTTTCACTGCTTTTGAACCATGGGGGGATTTTCTTTCATTAGTAAAAAATTCAAGGATAATCCTTGAAAAAGTACATGTATGTGAAATTTCAGCTCAATGGTCCAGTTGTTTCCAAGAAGGTGAAGTATACGACAAACAGGCCACAACATAAGCTCACTTGGCTTTGTGTTAGGGGAGCTAAGAAATGAAGGAAAAGTAGTTCACAATACATTCAAAACTCACTCTTGTAACTTCAATGGAACTTCTTGATCTTGAAGTTGGGAAACCACAGTGAGCTTCTGATTTGTCACAGAGTCTTGTCACATTTTTTGCATCTTACTGCTTAGAATAAAATAAATTCTTAGAATCTAGCTTCTAAACTGACAATTTTTCCCATGGAATACAATCTCATTGGCTGGACCAGCTATAATTCATATGGACGACCCACAAGTGATCTATTACAGGAGATGGGCCAGTATCTTGGATCTTACCTGTTCTCAAATATTTTCCTCATCTCTTCCATTCTGCGTTCCCGATATTGCTGGAGAAATTCATCCTCAATTTCTGTTAATTCTTCCAAAAAGGTTTCATCCTTTGTCTTTTCAGACTGATCATTCAGCTGTAACAAGCAAAGAAACTTTCAAAACACCTCAGGCGACACTTTTTCTATTTTTGGTTTATGGATTCAAACTCATTTCAAAAGTGAGGCAGGCCAATTTAAAAAAATAAATAAATAAGCCTCTCACATTTTTTTTACTTGAATTTTGTCCTGAAAAGTTAATCGACACTTTTTTTATTTCTTGGTTTACGGATGCGTCGCTCTTTCAAAGTCCAAATGTTAAAAAAATAAATAAATGAAAATTACCCTTTTTTTTTATTACCGCCGGTCTTTTCGTCAAAAAGTTCAAACGAAAAAAAGATTTCATTTCCTGGTCAAGCGCAAAGCAAAGGGAAGTCACTCTGATATTTCTTGCTGGGATCCTCCTCTAATACCATCAAAGTTTGGCAACTCAAAGCGCAGTGGTGACCAGTTTAACTCTTTCAACACTGTTGGCCGGTCAAGAAGCCACGAGCCACACCGCAGGGTAGACGAACCAAGTCACATCAAAATAGTTTATAATTTTATTAACCTACTTGTAATATCATTCATTTATTAAATCTATCACATTTCACAATGTCTGAAATACATTTTCCATTTGATTTTATCATTTTTTATCTATAGATTTTAACTTTATAATATTCATTGGACACTATTTCCCGCGATGTTATTGAAAATATAATTCTCGGTCACACTTCGACAACGGTCCTCATCGAACATGTCAAACAGCAAAATAAAGACATTTCAAGCAAATCTTTGAATATATTATACAAAGTAATAAAATCAACAAAAATATATCTAAAAGTTGCCAAACTGACATCTAAGTTATTATTTCCATCTTTCTGTGCGATCGTGTGTAATCGTACATCAAATGACATCTCGGCTTGCGTCGCCTCGATTTCTCGGTTCGGACACGATGTATTTAATGCCAAAATGTATGCATAAGAAATCTTTGTCACAGCTCGTAACCTAGCACTATGCATCCATAAAGTTCCATGTTTTTAATATAGATCGCGATTTCATGCTTAAAACGTTCAGAATAACATGATTTAACCCAAACCTTTCGCCAAAGTCTGAAAATTACCGTTGCTGTAAATTGTTTGGCTGCCATAGGTCACATGCTTAAATTTGACTAATCACGAACCTTGTAGCAGATTATGTCGGTGAAACAATATAAGTTTTTTTAATGTATACTGACATGGCAGCCTTCGACGTATGTGTTATTCATACGAAGCTTTGAAAACGGAGGTATTTCCTCATGTTAGTGAGCGGACAGCCACTATCATCGGGGAATGGGTGATGACAGATATTATTTGTAATTCTTTTTAAAATAATGTTCCGACAACATAAACAAATGAAAATAAAAGAGAAATAGATAAGTGGATTTTATGAAATCATATATTTGTCGAAAATCGTTAAATGTTCGCTTCATTGGTCCTTAATCTGGACGTTATAAATATTTCAGCTTACATTATTTTATTTAAAATGAACTTTATTAAGTTGTTAATGAATTATTTAAAAAATATAATACACATAACTTTCATATTTATTTATTCTGATGATGCCACTTCCAGTTCTAATGATGCCACTTTCGGTTCTGATGATGCCACTTCCGGTTCTGATGATGTCACTTCCGGTTCTGAGATGTCACTTCTGGATCTGATGATGCCACTTCCGGTTCTGATGATGTCACTTTCAGTTCTGAGATGTCACTTCTGGATCTGATGATGGCACTTCCGGTTCTGATGATGCCACTTCCAGTTCTGATGATGCCACTTCCGGTTCTGATGATGGCACTTCCGGTTCTGATGATGGCACTTCCGGTTCTGATGATGCCACTTCTGGATCTGATGATACCACTTCTGGTTCTGATGATGTCACTTCCAGATCAGATGATGTCACTTTCAGTTCTGATGATGTCACTTCCGGATCTGATGATGCCACGTCCGGTTCTGATGATGTCACTTTTGGTTCTGATGATGTCATTTTCGGTTCTGATGAGTGATTCCTGCCATTAACCTATATGATCTGTCTTAAACCCAGCAGATAATAAGAAACAAAAGGTTAACCTTGAAAGGCTGCTGTTGGCCGACCACCCACACACCCACACCAACACCCACCCATACACACACCAAGTAACCAAGTATGCGATGTTAAATTCTAACTCACTCACTCCATCTGATCAAATTCCATAGAGCTGTCCCTTGCTTCAGTGTATATCTGTCCTTCCACCTGTTTGCTTGGATGGTTCCTTCCCTGATGGGATAAACTTTCTCTTGGAAGATTCCTAAAAGGCATGATCTCTGTCAGATTCTCTAGTTCTCCTTGATGCTGGCTATTCGCAAGGACATCCTTGTGATGGGAGACTTCAATAATTTGAAGTAATTAACAATGCATTGTTTCCTATAACCAAGAGGTCGGTGTACCTGATAGCTCCACCAAATTAACAACGTGTTTGCTGCACTGGTAACAGACACATATGATGGCGAATATGATTACTTGCATATTTCTTTATGCAAAGGTTGGTGCACTGTCCTTGGTAAGAAGTGCAGTAGAGTCAATGGCTTGGGTTAATACAAGTTTGCTTAATATACAGGTAGAGGTATACAAGAAGCACCATGTTCCAGGTCAGCAAATAGTGATAGGAGTAGTGGTGGTGTTGGGTACTTGCAAACTTTTGGATGATAAACCACTGACCATAAGTCGTAACAACCAGATAACGATTACAGGCATTAGACTTGTTTGAGGCACTATACAAATACACAAGCTCACCAATATCAACAACTAAGGTTAGGCATATGATTTTGGCTGTGTTGGCCATGAATAAGTTTTCGATCATTCTTTGGTTTTGTTCAATGTTAAGCATTAAGCAATTGATAATGGCAAGGGAGACACAGAGACTCCTTGGGGGTCAAGTTTGAGGAGCTCCTCTTCCGTTCCTCTTGGATGCATCATTCAGCAACATGGGTCTTGTTAAGATTCTTTGTTTAACCAATTTCAATACAAAGCCTTTGACTAGAAAAGTAACTAGTAATTAGTTGTCTCTCACATTTCTGAATGTCAGCAGCAAATGCTGTGCCCATAACTTCACATGAGGAACTGTAATAGATCTCGCTCCCTTATGTACATCGAACATTCTTATACAATGTATGCTCCCTCTTGTAATAGCATGGCGATCATTCCGGTGATCAGCAAATGTACACGCCAACATTAGGAACCATATAAACTGTTCTACAGACTGACAGTGTTTGTTATGTGGAGTACCACATAAATTGGCGACAAGGAAAACTTTTATGGACGTATCGGCTCTTCAGGGATCATTGGCATCGTGAGTGTTTTCATCAGTGAATCAACATGGCGACGTTCGGGAAGGTAGATGAATATGACTTAGATAAAGATAACTGGGGTGAATATATCGAGAGACTTGAGTTTTATTTTGAAGCTAACGAAATAACTGATGGAAGTAGGAAGTGTGCAATCCTAATTAGCAATGTAGGTGCTAAAGCTTACAAACTTTTGAAAAATCTGGCGTCTCCCGGGAAGCCAGGGGACCATTCATTTTCTGCTTTGGTCAAATTGATGCAATTACACAAACACCCGAAACCGAATGTCATGGTGGAAAGGCGATGATTCAAATAGACAGCCTAATGAAAGTGTTTCAGATTATGTTTCTGAATTAAAGAGACTTGCATCAACTTGTGAGTATACTGATTGGGAGGTGAAATTGAGGGATCATTTAGTTTGTGGAATAAATGATGAAGAAATGCCTCTTAACGGAGAAAACTTTGGATTATAGTAAAGCATATTCATTGTGTCTTGGCATGGAGATGGCATCAAAGGAAGTTAAAGACATAAAAGATGAAACAAACCCCCAAGCAAACAAGACTGCTGTACACAAAGTGAAATCTATGACATGTGACCGATGTGGAGGCACAAATGACAATGGCAGAAATTGTTTTAATAGAAATACTGTTTGCAACGGCTGGGAGACTGGGACATATTGTGCATGTGTGTCATAGCTCATCATCTCAGAATCGACATTCTTCACAGTCACATGGTTGCTGTTTCAGACATAGAGGTAGACATGGTCAACCACATCGTGGTAGAGGCCGAGGCCATAGAGGTGGAGGTGAGACACATCAATTGAGTTCTACTGCCCAGGAAGATGTAGAATATGAACTATTCACGATGGACACTCATACGTATGTCACAACCTGTGAGACGAAGAGTTGAACCTTACATGATTGATATGACTGTAAATGGGAAACAGTTATCTATGGAGATTGACACGGGTACGGCAACCTCAGTGATCAGTGAACGAACATTCAACTCATTATGGAGACCTCATGAGAGACCACAACTGTTTGAAATGAATGAAATTCTTCGATCGTACAATAAGTACCATGAATAAAGATTGATTGATAAAGACCAGATTGAAGTCATGGGTAGGAGTGATATTCATGTATGTTATGGTAATCAAGAAGCAACATTATCTCTTGTGGTAGTGAAAGGAGATAGTGAGGACCTTCCAGGTAGAGACTGGCTACAATGTATCAAGTTAGATTGGGGAAGAATCCTGAAAGTGAAAAATGAAGGATTACAGGACATTTTACGGTCACATGCAGATGTTTTTCAAGAAGACATTGGTGAGTTTAAAGGTCACACAGTGAAAATCCAGACATCGACAAATACCTAGATTCTATAAACACAAAATTGTAACGTTTGCCCCAAGAGGAAGTGGAGACAGAGTTGAATTGGCTAGAGAAACAAGGTATCATCAAGCACGTACAGCATTCCGAGTGGGCGGCACCTATCTTTCCAATAATCAAATCAAATAGCTCCGTGAGATACTGTGGTGATTATAAACTAGCAGTCAACAAGGTAGCTCAGCCTGATGTATTCTCCCTCGTATTGAGGATTTGTTCGCATCATTATCTGGTGGAAAGACTTTCACAAAACTTGATCTCAGTCAAGCCTACAACTCTGGATGAAGAATCACAAAAGTTAACAACCATAAACAC